AGCCTGTGTATGTCTGAAATGTACACACGAAGAAGAGATGCATTCAAAAGCAAGTACACAGGTGGCTGTCACGAGTTGTATTTACGTTTACATTTACTATACATATATTGTTGTAGTAGTAGTTTTACATTGTCAGGTTACTTTTACTAGAGTTATATTTTTTATTGAGTAATAGTATGAAGTAACGCTCTTTGTTACTCTTACCAATTTGTTGAAGTGCTGAAGTGACAAATGGTTAACTATAGTAAATAATTTTAAGATTTTAGCTATTATTACACCACATACTTTTTTATTTGTACATGAGTAATTATTCTTAACTATTTTTCTACTTGAGTAATACTTAAAATGCAAATTTGAGTTTCTGATCATGAGGGAACACATCAAGGTAGTGATTCTTCTATAAAAAAAGTTGTGTATAAAATGCTTTCACCAGCACTATACAATACTCATGATTCAAACTAGATAATTCCTGATCTAGAAAAAAAACAAAGCAATAAATAAATAATAAAATAAAATAAAAAGAGAATATGTAATAAATCATGTTGTTTTTTTCAAGTACATGCCATTACCCGCTTATAAAACTAGGAATCTTGACATACAAAGCAAAGCCTGTCCTAGAATATGTAACTTCAAGCATCACTATATTTTTACCACAAAAAAATCAGGATTTATAATTGGTGAGACAGTGGACAGATTTAACGTGTGGCATAAAACGCTTCTTTAAACAGAACCACATTTATCTCTATGGAAACAAACAGCCCAGTGATAAACCAGAGTCCAGAGTCCGGGACACACAAGCCTGAGTGTTACCATAGCTTTATAATAGACATCATAAAACTAGGTCCAGGATTACGTAGTTAAGTCCTGGGTTAGACCTTTTTCTTGTTAGATCATAATTTGTCAGGGCTCAATTCTGTTTGGACTTGGTTTAGAATTAGTTTAGTCATGATTGTGTACAATATTTTTGGACTTAACAGTAATAGTTAGAGTCCAATATTGTAATCCAGGCTTTAGTAAAATGCGATTGTTTCCGGGTTTAGTCATTGTTTAGATTTTAGACTGAGATTAAAGATGGAATTTACATGGATTAAAACCTGTTATTATCTATTTGGTTGTAAAGTGGTTTTATACTATGATGAGTACTCATCACAGATTAAAATAGTATCTGAATTTGACCCATTTAATATCTGGTTGAGTCCTACTTAAATCCAAGATGCATGCGTGTTCAGTTCTGGTTGAATCTCGGTGTAGTCCTAGTTCAATCCTGGTTTAGTCCTGGTTCAGTCTTGGTTCTGTCTGAGTCCAGTCCTGGTCTAGTCATGGTTCAGTCATGGTTCAGAGTTGGTTTAGTTCTGTTTCAGTCCTGGTTCAGTCCTAGTCCAGTCCTGGTTCGGTCCTAGTCCAGTCCTGGTTCGGTCCTAGTCCAGTCCTGGTTCAGTCCTAGTCTAGTCCTGGTTCACTCCTAGGCTAGTCCTGGTTCAGTCCTAGTCCAGTCCTGGGCCAGTCCTAGTCCAGTCCTGGGCCAGTACTAAGCCAGTCCTGGTTCAGACTTACTTTGGTCCTGGTTCAGTTCTCTTTTAGTCCTGGTTCAGAGTTGGTTCAGTCCTCGTTCAATCCTGGTTCAGTCATGGTTCAGTTCTAGTCCAGTCCTGGTTTAGTCCTGGTTTAGTCCTGGTTCAGTCCAAGTCTAGTCCTGGTTTAGTCCTGTTTCAGTCCTGGTTCAGTCCTGGTTCATTTCTAGTCCAGTCCTAGTCCAGTCCTTGTTCAGTCCTGGTCCAGTCCTGGTCCAGTCCCAGTCCAGACACTTGAGCAGGATTACGTACATAGATGATGCCGTCTTTGTGGCGCACGAGCAGGTTTCGGAGCAGTCCAGCCTCGTTCAGATCCCCCAGTCTGATCATGTCGTCCACACCCTTGACGGAGGTGGGGTGCATGGGCCGAATCAGACCCTCCTTCTTTTTGTTGATCTTATGTTCCTAAAAAAAGACAATCAAGAAAGACGTCAACCATAGTACAGACCATAAGTACTCAGATAAGACCATGCTTTTTGATCTTTTTCTATGAGTAATTCAACCCTATTTTCTTTCAGACAACACAATGCCTTGGCCTTTATGTTAAAACAATTGCTGCTAACTTTAACCATGAGAAAGCAGTTTGGTGAATTTATTAGAATGAGTGAAGAGGCTGTATGGGGTGGGCTTCCTAGATTACCACAGGATATGGTAATGACTCCAACATGACACCATAAAACACCATAAAACAGTAGGTATAATTTAATAGTATTTAAATATGATAGATATTTTTGATTACAGATAATTGTTCTTCATTAGTCATTTTAAATTGTTCTTCACTGGTCAGTCCTGGTTTTAACCTTGTATGGATCTGGTTTTGTTTTGATTCTATCCAAATTAGGACTTGATTATGTCAGACTTTATTGTACACGGTTTAGGCAGTTGTAAATCGTAGTCGTGTCAGATTTTTGTTAACCACATTCAAAAGCTGTAAACTACAAAGAGGAGTGTTAGTTTTACCTTTCCTTCATCGTCGATCAGTTGAAGTTGTCCAGTGTCTGTGACTTTGACTTCAGCTCCTATGGGGATCTCACTGCCTGTGTCCACCCACACAAAGTCCCCCTAATAATAACAAAGAATATATTATTATTATTGTATGGCATTTTAATCATTTGAATGTGTTACTACAAAATAAGATTTGCTCATGTTAGTTTTCTGTTGAAGGCAGCACCACTTTTTTCATTATTCAGTTACAGGTGGCAGTTACAGGCTTGCCTCTCTTCAGATCTGACCTGTAATTTGACCTGGTGGCATAACCGGCATGTTTCCATTGGTGATGGATAAGTTTAAAGCCATACTGTGGAGCATTTTAGGGTAAGCAATAACATTTCGATCTCCATGGAAACAAGCAGGAGGCTGACCTTCCATCAGAAAAGTATATACTAGTAGTGCATGTTTAAAATAAGCTGTAATGTGCTTACCTTTGACAAATGCAGCATGGTGACGCCTGCGGGAAAACATAATTCATTAATCACTGGATTGAAAGTCAAAGCAACAAGCACATAAAATACGTATGTAGTAACATTACATCATCTCATGACCATTATTTTACTTGAGTGAACAAATGATGGTGCCTATTAATATGAAAATTATATATGCAAAGTAACTTTAGATAGCTGTGGCACATTTGGATAACAGTGCTCACCACCGATAATTTTTCAACATTTCCAGTTCTACTCAGCATTTACTCGTTCACATCGTATAACAACAAGATTGAACGAATGAATACCGCTCCCCATATTTCTGCCGTGTATTATAGCTGATTTCGATGAGACATTTCAGATATTAATTAAAAAACTAGCTTTCTATAATATTTAACTGAAAATACTCAATGCCAAAAACTTTAACTTACCTAAAAGTGGTGGTTTTGTGTGGTGTGAGCGTGTGCTGTTGAGGAGTCTTCTGAATGAGGACTGAAGCAGGAAGCATTAAGCCGCCTCCACTTTATGGTACTTTGACTTTGATCCTGCAAAACTGAAGCCACCCAAAGAGACTTAACACAAGATTTAACCTGAGATAATGATCAAAATACTATCATAAATATGACTATATAATGTATGTGAGTATAGTGCCCAATTATATATGAAAATTATAGCATCATAACATACAAGTAGGCCTAGATGATCTAATTAGCAAGTTTAGTCTTAGTTTATTCTTGTTTTAGCTGTTCAATAGACCTGGCTTAGTGCTGATTTAGATCTTTCTGTAATGTTTCCATCTATACCATGGCATAGGAAGATTACAAAAGTCAAACTTCAAACCACCTCGGTCACTGGATCAGATGGACATAAGGAAACTATCCCAAGAAAATAAGCTACCAGTAGATTACTTCCTTGATTATTAAAGCCATAGTCATAGTCATAGAGATCATCCTGCCAAACCCTGCTTGCAATTATGTTGTAAACCCTGACTGTAAAAGGAAAGGAAACTTAAATGCACAGTTTTGTCAGTCATAGCACAACTTGGGTGAGTTTTATAGAAGAGAGTGCATTCCAGCATTCCAACAATGAACTATACGCCCGTCTGGTATAATATTTGACCACAGGGGGTGTTAAAATATCATAAATCTTTGTGGTTTGTATATACATGCTATTTCTCTCTCCTTTTCTATGGTTTATAGATTAGGAAAGGTAATTTTTTTGTGTTGCCTATACTAAAATAGTAAATAACTCTCAAGTATTGTATTTACATCTGACTTAAACAGTACATCTGGTTTGCCTTATAATAAATAAACAGATCATATTATTTTGGTTGATAGGTAAATGCTGAAATTAAAGTTTACAGTTTCTGCGGTAGAACTGTACTTTACAGCACAGTAGAAGCATAAGAGAAAGACTTGTGTATTTTAAAAGGTACTTTAAAATGCATTCACTAGCAAGGACCATGCCACAACAATGGAATACGATAAGATATTTATTGGTGGTGGATAAATGTGATGACTGGGGGGAGACTCGGGGTGGGGGCTCCGTCACCAATCCAAAATAGTCACTCCCCCTCCCCTCCTTAAAGATGCTGTGGACGAGAAACATGGAGTGGGAGGGAAGGGGTCGAGGCAGTCGAGAGAGCTGACACAGGCGGTGTTGTCGGGATGGCTGTATAAATAGGGCTTCTTGAACGCGTGGTTGAGATAAGGCGTGGTTGGCTGGAGAGAAAGTTGAGGCGTGGTTCAGCTCCTGAATCTTGGTTAATCATATTAACTCCACTTACACAGTGACTCAAAGTAATGGCAATATGATTTGACCCTAAACGTGTATGAAGACTGCAAATGATCAGAAATATGGTTGGTTATGCTTGTTAGTATAAAAATAGGGTTTAAAAATGTATTTATCCCACCTTATCCCCCTTATTACCCACCCCTCCTATTTCCATATTTTTATCATGCTGTACTGTGCTGTCCTGTGATTTTAGTTAAAATAAAAATACATAGCATTGTTTAAGTATCTTTACTATAATTACACAGACAAAAACATGTACAATAGCTGGATGTCTCTCGGGCACACTTCATTTCAGTAAATTACAGTTTGCAAAAATGAAGCATCGCCATTCACACAAATATTCAGAGTACAAAACTTGAAAAGAAAGTCTGATGAAAAAAGAAACATGTACAGTGATTTACAATTCAATACATTATGACCAAACTTGGATACTGGACCTTCTCAAAACTCGACTTCACATCCTTCAAATCTGAACACAGTTGTTGATGTACTGATGTTGTTTTCAATAGGTATTTTGTTTTACCATCTTAACTTGGACATTTGAGGTGTGGTATAAAAATGCGAAGCTTTTTAAGTGTATTTTCTTGGTGATATTTTTATGTACATCAACAAAATGAAGGCACAGTTTATGAGAAGAGCACATTTGAAGACAGTTTTGTAATTGGCTAATCAAAATCATTATGTCCCTTTTAATCTCGCATTCCAACTAAAAATTCCTGTGGGCAAAATGGCTGCCTGAATTTACAACAGGCACATTCATAGTTATACTGTGGAAAAGTGAAATTAAGTTTTTGTTATACTCAAGAGTACAACTGTACTATGTTTTGGGGGACATAAAACCCTGGTGGTGTTGTGTCCTTGGGCAAGACACTTCGTCACTGTCAAGTAATTACTAACATTAAAATTAACTGTCTGCCATAATGAGAATTTATATCAGTCACATTTATGTAGCAACATGGAGTAAAACTGAGCTAAAAATAGGACACTTGACCAAGATCCTGGCTAAGATCTGAAAAAAGGTCCACTGCTCCAGACAAGATGCCCCAGTGGTATTAAATAAACAAAATTCCCAGACTACGGGTAAGATAATGTATATCTAAAATATTTGCCTTTGTGTACTGACTCACATTTTGGTTTCAATCCCACTTTTCCACAATATTCTAATTTACTCGTGTGCCTGTATTTTTTTTTTAATAGATCAATTTGAATGCAACATCGGGCCGTTTCTAACATTTAAACGAAAATGTTCATAACTAAGTAGACATTAATTGAATGCTCCACACTTCACATGTGTATTACTGAGAACCTATTCCTCCCAGTGTTTCTTTCCAGTTTATCTTTCCAGTCCGCTTCTCTGTTCAGGCAGGGTGCGTGTGATTGTATACAGCAAATCATAGCACCAGACAGTGAGCAGCTCCTCCATGCCACAGCTAGAGGGCACAGTAGCAGTGGTATTTGCAGCCTATGCCCTCTCTTTCCTCTTTAGTTTGGACGATTTCTTCACCGTGCCATTTTTGTTGAGCAGCTTTAACACTTTGTCTTTGTGATCCAGGACTTTCATCATTGTGTCCCGAGCTTCTGTGACCTGGTCCATCACAAGTTTACACCGCTGCATGTTGCCCTGAAAAAAAAGATTTGATGATTTTGGTTAGAGCAGTGGATATCAAACTTTACGTAAATTAAAGTAAAAACTATATTTTTGTTCTTTGAGCACCACAAGATCAATAAGGAATAAGTGGACCATATCAGTACTAGATTAAAATTAAAGACTAAAATTAGACTAACCCTGGTAATTTATGATTATACTCAAACAAACTCAGAAAAGCAGAACAAGACATTGCAAGATTTCTCTAAAAATTTAAAAAGTATATATTAAAACTGCCCCACATCTGGTGGGCCCCACATACCACCAGATGCAATCAGTGTACCACAGTTTAAGAAACACATGGTTAGAAAACAAATCTGCAGATTGTAATTGTGTGTAATTTTAAAGTATTTTTTTTTCCCACTGATCATATTTAATGTATCGAGCATATGCAAGAAAGTGTGTCAGTTGCTGCCATTTTCTTCAAAATACAGAAACATTTAGCCTTTCCTTCACTGAGAGGCAAATACTGTAAATCAAGCATTGCAGTTATAATTTTGTGACTACTCAAAAGTAAATAACCAGTGGATTTAATTAAGTTAATCTTACTTGTATGAGCTCATTGATTCTGTGGAGGTCATCGTCACCTCCTGCTCTCTTCTTTGGAATCAGTCCTTCTTGGAGAGTGGACAGACGGCTATACACATCATGCTCCAAATTTGTCTAAAAATTCATTACACATATGTGAAAACACTGACTAATATTTTGATGGGTTTTGTTCAACTATAAAGTATATTTCTTACCAGTTGTCTGAGCTGAGCAGCACACAAGTGGATCTTCCATCCTTGAGCTCTGCAGGCAACTCCTCTCTGATTGGCCATTTCCTGTAGGCTCCCCTTTTTGTCCTCTTTAATCATAAAACAGATATTATTTAAACATAAACCATGTCAACAAAATACATTGTTTTGATATTTCTTATTACTACTAGTATAAGTTTCAATATGTTTCCCAATTATCCAAACATAAGTGAGATAATGTAAAACCTAGTGGTGTCAAATTATCGCGTTAATTGCGATTAATTAATTACAGTCATATTTAGCGCGTTATGTTTTTTAATCGCGTTAATCTAATTTTTAATCTCTAACTTTACTGTTTCTGTATGCGAGTTGCTTTATTATAAAACCTGTTTTTATGTGTTGTTGGGACAACAACACACACACACAAAAACACATTTATACATTTTTTTATTTCGGTAATTCCACTCATTGCCAGAAACCCACACAAAACGCGCGCAGTAAGAGCGACGTAAACGTCATGTTAACGTTGGCGGCGTCAGTCGCACAATGGACGAGGTCGAAGAGCCAGTAGAACACAGGCAGCAGTGCACAGGTAAAAACACATTCGTGTCTTGGAAATTATTCTCCCAACGTGAAATATAAAAGAAAATAACAAATATAATATCGCCTACAACTTAAATGTCACTGGTGAAAACAACCTGCATAGACTCATGATGTCTGCACTACTGTCCTATAGTGACCTGCCACATGAGGGGACACACACACAAACAAACACACACCTTCATCATCGTCATTAACCTGAGAACGCGCGGACCACGTTTCCTTCCGTAGTTACTGCGCGGACACCGACGTGCTCCCGTGCGCCGCGTGTGGATCGTGTTTTCTCGCATACGCTGCGTAAACCGTGCTTCGTCCTGTGCGCCTCTAAACCAGAGCTAACACCAAGACTAAAACCAGGACTAATCCAGTCCAGGACTAAACCAGGACTAAACCAGGACTAAACCAGGACTAAACCAGGACTAAACCAGGACTAAACCAGGACTAAAACCAGAACTAAAACCAGGTCTAAACCAGGACTAAACCAGAACTAAAACCAGGTCTAAACCAGGTCTAAACCAGAACTAACACCAGGACTAAAACCAGGATTAATCCATTCCAGGACTAAACTAGGACTAAAGTAGGACTAAAGCAGGTCTAAACCAGGACTAAAACAAGGATTAAAACCAGTGATCTCATATATAAAGCATTTCTCTATCAATAATATTTTTAATATGGTTAAGGAAAGACTGGACTTTTTATTGTCTTTAAGTAGACAAAAGTTATTATGTTCAGATTTCCTCGTCTTTGCTACTTTACAGCAAACAGTTTCTTATTCATGGAGACTTAGGCTCAACAGCCAATTTGGAGAGATTTGTTAAACAATAAATGACTTTATAAAGTCACTTTTTAAAATCTATATCAGTCTTTTGATCTGCCACAATAATGTAATAATGAATTTAAATGAAAATACCTCAAATTGAAGGCTTTTCTCAGCAATTTTTAGGTGAGATTAAAATGAGATTAATTAGATTAATTAATTACAGATCATAATTAATTAATCTCTCAATTTTTTTAATCGCATGACAGCACTAGTAAAACCATTGGAGTACTGACCTTTGACACGGATGTCGCTGTACCTTTGGAAGTGGTGGTAGGCGGCCTTCCAGGGGTTTCGGTAATGCCTCAGGAGGGTGACTGGAGGGCGAGGACGGACTGGGACATAACGTACTCCTTCCTCATCTGAGAACAACAAAAATACAGTCCAGATTTGATGTAAATCGTTTCCTGAATATTACATTTACACAGAGCCAGAGGCATAGACATACCGACATATTCTCTAGGGGGGGACTCACGCCTCTCAGCCCTCCCAGTGATGGGTCTGCCAGGGGCTTTCTCCTCATCAGTGCTGTTGGTCTCCATCATTTCACTTTCCTCTGTTGAGATCACATGCTGCTGCTTCCGAGGCTTCTTTCGTGGAGAGGCCCCTGGGATGAGCTCCCCTGTGGTGGACGTGGTCAGGGAGGAGACTTGGGGGGTAAGTGCTGGAGCAGAGGACAAACTGGCATTGGGATCTACAAAGAAGCAGCATATATGGTTTTACTTAAAAACACGCTAATACAATAACGCTCCTTAACATTACAACTTGTTTATCCAAAACATTATTTTTTATCAATTTTTAAAATTGGCAATGCCCCCTTTACCTGGTTGTTGGGAGGAGGTGTCCATGGACTCCACCTCTTGTTTGATCTTCAGGTCAGGGCAGGTGGAGCTGGCGACATAGGCAGCAGTGCTACTGGCTGCGGGTTGAGTTGGAGAGGCCACAGCGTTAGCCATAGAGGCAGGTACTGGGGGAGTGACGGCCATGGCTGCTGGCAGGGCAGGCAGCACCGCAGAGGGCTGAGACGGGGGCACAGGTCCTGGGGCAGAAAGCATGGTGGGGATGGCCTGCGCCATGTGCTGGGGGGCTGTAGAAACAGCCTGCTGCTCTGGAGGCTGAGAGGGTAATGCCTCCACAGCAGCCATGACAGGAGGGGCAACTGCCATGTGCACATCGGCTTTGGGCTTCAGACTGAAAAAAGGACAATGGAACACTAAATCTCAGTGTGTACAACGTTACAACAGATAAAGTGACTGTGTTTCATTGTAAAAGAAATATCATCTGTCACCGTCTGTTTGAGATGTTTGCAAAGGCATAATCACAAATACATCATAAAGGGTTAAATTATCTTATAAACATAATGAAGTGATGTAATCAGAAAGCAAAGTTACCCTGCAGGTCGGGGTGATCCTGCTCCTCTCACAGCGGTCTCTATCCTTGCCCCACTCTGTTCACTGGGCTGGGCTGGAATCAGGGTTTTTCGTGCACATCTGAAGCAAAAGAGCACATTGAATTTAGTGCTAGATCCATATAAAGTAGCAACATCACATTTTGTCTATTACATTTACAAGGTAATATAATAACTGATATAATGCATGCTTATATCCAAATAATAATGCAATTAATCTAGTTGCACTAGTGTGGCTCACGTTTCAGTGGTGGTCTTCTTTCTGAGGATGCTAGGCCGAGGAGAGGACACCAGAGTGGGGGCTCCTCCGACAGCAGCTCCCTGGGTGTGGGCTTGCACCATGGTGGCTACAGGCTGGGTTGCCCCAAACGTGGTGTTGATGGGGCTAGCTACGAAACCATCTGTCAAAACAACTCCTGGAAAGAAAGTTCATTTACGTCAGGGTTTTCATCGCCCGAGGTGTCAATAATAAATTACATTTAGTTAGATCAATTTTATTAGGAAACTTCTTATTGTAACTGTATCTTTATTGTAAGAAGTTGAAAAGATTTGGAAATCGCCCATAATGCTAATAAACACCCATAATTTGATTACCTGGTTTTGCTTCAGCCTGGGCTTGTTGCGGTTGCTGCTGTGGCTGCTGGGTCACACTGGGCGTCTGCTGCAGTCCCTGTGTAGTAATGGGGGCTGAGGTGTGCAGACCCTGGACTCCTATGGGTGCAGGCTGAATGCCCTGAGCAGTAATTGGTGCCGGCTGGATCCCTTGGGTGCTGATTTGAGCTGAGGGCAAACCGATGCGATCCACTGCCATCAGCTGCATGTGGTTCAGATGCACTGTAGTGGCCACTCCTACTCCTGGCTGAGTAGGTAGTGCTGAACTCGGGGCTTGAGGTGTAACTAATTGAGAAAAAGTACCTGTTAGTGACTTAATCCTAATATTTTGGTGTCATTGTATTCATGGAACCAAGACATAATGTTAAGCTTGATTGGTGCCTAGTTAATATGATCTGACATTGGTTTATTGTGGTGCTTACCAGGATACTGGCGAATCGCAGACACAGAGCTGCTTATAGGGGTATAGGTGTGTGTCAGAGGATAAGAGGACGAGTAGGCGGGAAGGAAATACTGGAACTGTACTGGAACTGAAGGTCTTTAATATAAAACAGAAAAATCCAAATAAGTAATAAACTTTGAAAGTATGATTATTATTGGGGATTATTACTTTAAAAATACACACGCCAAATTGTGCATGTTACAATGATTATTTCAAATGGTGTTAATGCTTACTCAATGCAAACCAATGTTGAATAATACTGAAAACTAAGTAAGGTAAAAAGCAGTAACCTGTCACTCCTTGCTTCCATGGTGACAGGGTTGGGAGATGCCCGGTGTCCAGAGATGGGAATGAGGTTGGTTCGTTCTCCTGGATAATCTGGCTGCACACGGGACGATGAATGGGCTATAGGCTGAGGAACTACTTTAGCTGCAATGAAATCAAAAAGAGCATTAGTCATGATGGCTAGTGAGGGAGAGACTGTAAAGGGGCATAAACACACATACCAACAGGAATAGTGGAGGTGGTCACTGCTGTAGCATGAGAAGAGTGAGAAGCAACTGTCATGGTCACTAGTGTGTTACTAGTCATTTGAGTATGCGGAACAGAGCCTATAAACAGGGAGACACGTTGTCAAAATTATAAAAGTAGCTAAAAAATACAATAAAAATAAAACAAATGTGCTACAATGTTATGTGATCACAACAATACTACAACAGTATGTGTTGAAATAATAAATAAATTATGATTCAATATAGATCTTTCACAAATTTATCCAGATTGAACCAAAACCATAAACAAGTGATTTCCTGATGGTATAAACCAAATGTCATTTAAACTTACAATTATACTGTAAGATCAAACGGCATATATACATCAATACTAAAACTAATGTAGTATTGCTAAAACTACATATCAAGAAATATCACTCCACAAATGTTCCCCCCACTCTAAAGCTTATTTACAGTAATCATACAGATGCATAAAGTACCTATAGCGGTAGTTGATGGCACAGTGTTAGTTGCCACAATTGGAGCCACCGTCGCTGCAGCGACTGGTGTCACGGTGCTGAAAATGGATTTCTGTGGGTAGAAAGTCATTGCAATAAGTATTTAAGTAAGTAAAATTCATTTCTGATGTTTTGCAGCAGTTACCTGGGTCATGGTGTTGGGAGGCTGAGGTTTTTGAGCGCCTATTGCTGGGTGAGAGGGCAGTGTGATCCGCGTTGCTGTATCTCGGGATGTTTGAGGTCTCTGAATACTGACTGTGGCTGGAGGGGGGTGAATGGCCAGCCCGGGCCGTCTGAAAAGAATGAGTTGTTGTATTTATTTCTACCTTGGTTAAATGTTCCCTAGAAATAGCTCTGCAGACTACTACATACCCATGGGCTACATCAGTGGAGTGAGTAACAGCTGAACTGATAACGGGAGACTGAGTCCGACTGGCCACTACTGTCGGGAGCACAGGTGTAGAAGTGGTCACTGGAGGACGAGACTGCACACAGAGGGATAAATTACGTTATTCTATGGTTTAAATTATCGGTAAATAAATGAAATATGTTGTACCTGAATGGTCTGAATAATGTGCTGCACAGTGGGTTGGCCCGGGCCAGCACTTGTCCCAGTGGCTGGTCGCAGGACAGTTTTGGAGCTAGACATAACAGCTGCTGCAGCAGCCCCTATGGGTCAAAACTCACATATAAAAACTGGTAGATTTATAAACATATTATTTATAATCAGTACATTTACAAAATATTCCTACCTCGAGGTAAATGTGATGAGAAAGTTTGGGGTTGCACTGGAGGTGTCCCTATCTGCAGAGCAGGAGCACTGCCTCTAATAATCTGGATATTAGCCGGCATCAAGTGATGCAAATTACTAGAGTGACCCTGAAAGAAATACATGTCAGATTAAGATTATTTAACACAGAAACATTTTCCATATACAAATATTTTTGACAGTGAGAACTCACTTGTTGACCACTGATGGTCGCTACTGGAATGGAAGGGGTTGTAGCGATGCTGCTCTCTATAGTCACGGTGATGTGACCAGGGACCTTAGGTATGTGAGCCTGATTAGGGATTGGAGCTGGAGCAATGAGTCGACTTGGCATTGGAGACTTCAGTACAGCCTTAAGAAGATTTCACAAATTGTTTAAATTGTTTAAATAAAATAATGGCACTGTTGGCAATGTTTAAATAATGAGACACTTGACAGAGATGTGACACTAAACTTACATATTTAAAGAGGAATCTTAAACACTTGTGATTACCTTCATTTGTCCCTCAGTGAGCACTGTGGGTTGGGCCTGTGGCAGATGAACAGCCGGGGCAGGTACAGTACCGGGAGTTCCGGGTTGAATGGAAACTGTTTGAGGAACAGCCTGAGGTGGACCAAGCGTCTGAACCTGAGGGTACGGCCTGACCACCATAGTTTCCTGTTTATCGTCTCTAAAGGGGATGGGCCCACCACCTGGAGCTGGTGGAGGATCCTGAGGTCCATGGTCTGCATCACGAGTACTGTCTCCATCTGGTCCAGCTAAAAATAAATAAAAAAATATTTAATTCCACAATCTTAAATCTGTACTTAACTGTATTGTGCTTTATTGAGTCAGTGCTGTGTCACCTGCGGGATTGGACGGCTGGGTGACAGATACCAGGTTCCCAGATGGAGAGATCTGTGGGGCTCCTCCCGTGGACGCAGGCAACCCGTGACGTGGAAATTGTTGGGAGCTCATTTCAAATAAACCAGATCTAAATTGTAAACATATTGCATCGTCAGTCGATCGTTTTTAGCACATAAACAAGCTCGTCTAGTGTCTTAGCCGTGGGGGTATCAACAGTAGACCGGACCAAGCTAAAGGAATGCTATAAAATGATCTTGCATTAAAGCACAGAAATCAACGAACCGCTTTGACTCCACCAGTAAGCATTGGCATAAACAACAACAAATAAAAATAAAAGTGAGGATTTTATATGAACTTATGCCCTTTAAAACTAGTTACTGCTCGGTGACGTTGGCTAACTATCAGCCCCCCTTGGAACCGTGTCAGATTTGAGGATTTCCGTCAGCTAAGGTTAAATACACAAATTACAACCAGATTAATCTAACGGTGTACACACAATCTTAAATGCTTTACAATAAATGGCTACATTGTGAGTTAGCTTTTTTGCGACCATTATGCTAACTGCTAACAGTAGAGCCGCCAGCGTTTTCATACTTAACAGTTTAACCTGGCAAATCTCCGCTAACTTTGCATGTGCATTTAAAACGTCTTTACTCGTGCATCGTTATTACCGTAAATGGAAGTTCGAAACCAATATTTGTTTTGAAGATTACAGATTTTCCATTCGTCTTTTCTTTTTTCCAACATGTAAGCCGGAAGAACGCTTCGGAAAACCAGGACCGCCCTCTTTGTAATTGTCCAATCACAGAAGAGTTTCCCATGTCTTTCGCCAATAGGAGCGCTCCAATCCGTTCAGGACCAACAAAAGGGAGGGGAAAGCGACCAACCAGAGGCTTTCATTGTGGTCACGTGATACTGTAAGGTACTGGCGCTACTTCGACTACCGCACCGCTCACCATTGACAAAAATAGTCATCGGACGTAAACAAGGCTATATTGGTTGAATTGGTCATTAATCTGTTAGCAAGAATAATCATTTTATTTTATGACTGAATTATGATTGAAAGTATACCCGATTCTTGCTGAAAATTCTAATCCCGACGTCGATTACGCGGTTTCTCTATACGGGCACGTTGCTTTTACGTACGTCTTACTTTCCCAAAATAGTGCCTTTATTTCATTACGTTTTCGGTCATGTTCAAATTCAGAGCTTAATTGAAGTTGTGAATGATTAATAGTACATAAATCGATCGATGCTCATGGGTCACACAAACACGAGCTCACGTTGCTTGTCTATGTGAGCACAGACTTCATCAGCATGCAATACAATGTTTACGCCACTAGAGGGCAGCATTTCTCCATAATAATATTCAGAAACGGACAAAGCAGAAGTGGTTGTCAACTGATTTTAGGATAAGGATTTTTAGAAAACTGATATTATCTGTTGTGATCCACTCACAATGGCATGCAAACAATTCATGGGCTTCAGACAAACAATTCCTTCCTGATTTGAAGGACTTTGTGAAAACCCATCAAGAATCTTTCCCCATTCAAAAAATATTACATTTCTATGTGAATTGCTTAAATATTATGACCACAGAGGACGTTTGCCATAGCTTCAAACCCACAAATAAAATGTATAGGTCTATGTTTACACTTTGTAACTTTACATTAACTTCATCACTTTACCTTAATTTGACTGGTGACATTGATTTAGTTAGAGGATAAACCCCTTGAGATGGAGCGTCTTGTTTTCAAGGGAGTCCTCAAGTATTATTTTTACACAAAGTTGATTCCTGTGAGCTTTTAGCCACATCAGAATGTTATTACCTTATCAAAATCATACCTGGAATTGTGTTTCGTTTCATTCAGTGTGGTCTGAGTAATCCTTTATTATCAATCTGTCTACACCAAAGCTCAAAATGCTCTGTTCCACTTTATGATGTTATGTAGTGATAGTTTTCAAGGTAACAGCTACCTTTTACCTTTTGTTTACCTTTAATCATGCAAATGATTGAAGGTGTACGGAGTTTAAAAATACATTAGAGCACTTCCCGTATTACCACAAGACATCACAAGGTTGTGACATCGCATGTTTGTGTGAATAAAACAAAACAAAACAAAACATAAAGTCCAGGTATGTTTTTGATGAGGAAACAGCTTAGCATAACATAGATCAGTAAATAGTGTAATATGGGCCCTATAAGTGGTTTTATTGTGCAAATATACCTTGAAAAACATCTGAAAGCAGGGCACCTCTTCACAGATCTGACCTGTAACTTTCCATGGACACGTTAAATAGGTAACAAAACCTGTCTGCCACATTCTTCTATAAATAGTTGTAGACTTTTACCACAGTGGCCTATTCTGCTAAGTTAATTTAACACAAGCATGAACGTGAATGAAAGAGAGAGAAAAGTAACATGTGGATCAATATAGCTTGTCTTAACCTGAGAAACCCCAAATATCCTTTGAGTGAGAATTGCATATTTCATCACTATTGTAACTGAATTGCAATATTTCATAACCCCACCTGCCACCTGCTTTGTAAACTGTTATATAAAACTAATACAAGCTTTGACACAGCCCTAAATTACCTCTAAAATGACTCACATCTACAGGTTAGTATGTCCTTGGGAACCAGTGAAAGCCTGTGGCAATCATTCTTTGGATATTATTGTGGTCTAGGTAAAGTAATGGCATTTTGAATCGTAAAACTAAGGAATCTAAAGGAGGGGTCAGAGGAGGTAGGTGCCACATTCCTAGTCTATTTCTTGATAACTCATAATTAGTCACCCTGTACCATAGACATTTATGCCTAGACTTTAATAGGTAAGTTCACAGCTGCTTGTGTGGTTTTACTGACTCAGCTGTACAGTAGATGTCTTTGTAAAGCCTGTCTACAATAGCCTGTGTTTTCATTATCTCGTTGACTAATTCATTCATGTTTTCCCATACTGCTAGGTCTGTAAGTCTGGATTTTAAAGTGTTGAGTGACTGGAAACTGCTGACTCAAATAGGCAAGTTGATTTCATCATGCATTTTTTATCTGGTTAAAAAGAAAGGTATTTACTATTATGTCTCAACACAGTGTATAACATTTTTAGCCAGTTATGGGAAGAATACTGAATATCTGCATAAATAATGTGTGTACTATATTCTGGATACTCTGAATACTTTCATGAGATGCATTTAAATTAAAGTATAAATATGCAACATAGGATTAAACCAGCTTTATGATTGCTTCACCATTTGTGATGCATTTCCTGTTATGAACTGGATAAGGACAAATCACTCGTGCACTGACCACAACAGTCTTTTCTGTTTTTCTCACTAATTATCTTCAGTTCAGAGCCTAAATTGTATGATGAAGTACTGCAATGTATTCCTTTGACTTTAGAAATGTAATTCTGAAAAAGTAACTGTACATTTACTCAAATTTGTATTCTTAATATGTATTTATGTTATATACATTCAGTTGCTTCCCAGCTCTGCTTTTAACCTAATATTTCCTTGTCTATTCACATGCTGTCTCTGAGACTACAGTTCCAGGTAAAGCATTTTAGAAGATCAGATCAAATTAGATAAAATTTTGGTCAAATGCTGAGTAATATCTTAATAGTGCATAATGTTAGGTAAAGACTTCAGGCCTCATAGATCCCATTTGTTCCTTTTCTGTGATTATTCTCTACAATGTGTGATAGCAGGGCTAAGTTTCAGTGCAATTTATTTTTAGCCGTTCCAAATTACTTTGAAACTGCTGGAAATGCCCTGGGAGCACTATTTGGCCGCAGCAGAGGGGAAAATTCTCAGTATCATTTGCATTTGGCAGAATTTCTGATTTTTTCCCACATCAGTGCACCAGAATATAGCCACGGGGCCATAGTTTGGGTTCGGCGTCACATTTCACTTTACCTGCAGCTCTGGCCACCATGCCAACTGGTTTCACTCACATTTTTGAGCTTAATATATCAAGATTCCCAGAATAAAAACAACACTTTTTAGGTGGGTTAGTGTTGAATAAGTGGAACAAATGCAATTTCAGTAGTCTTTCAGATTGTGCAAACTGAAACCAAAATCACTAAGCCAAAAAATTCTTAGAAGTAGGTCTGTCACAGAAAATAAAAATGAGTTATGATGGAACTGGTTTTACTGATTGACTAGCCATAAAAGTTCTGCAGAAGTACTTTTCAATTTGATAATTGAAGTCTGATAATCATTTTAAGAAAAACTTGAGAAAAACGTGAGAAACCTGAGAAAAACCGTATCAAATCAGTATCAAATCAGTATCAGATCAGTATCGTATCGTATATTGTATAATTTGAATATCTGATTTTTGTCATAAAGTGCAAGTTCCAATAAAATAGTTGAATACTCCATATTTTCTACCATGGCACAGAAAGTTTAACATGTTGCATTACGTACATTCCACAAGTAGTTTTCCAAAACCCTTTAATTTAAGCAACATATGGGTAAATTGTCACTATTTTGCAGTTTTGTTAACAACTAAAATGCTTATATGTTTACAAGGTCTAAAATATCCTATAAAAGCCACACGTTTTACTCTGCTATGAAATTACAAGTTTCCCACAGACAGAAACTATGGAGTTATTTGTAAGATGTCTGGTATTCAGCCTCACTATTGCTTATAGGTGCAGGTATAGCAACTGGTTTTCTCAAGGGTCAGATCCCAACTAGGTCAAGTATTTGAGGCACATTTTTTGAGTGCCCATGTTATCTCAGGGGATTAACATAAAGCATGCAACAACAAACAAGAGTTAGAGAGAAATACAGGTATGCAGGTCTGCGAGTGAGGCTGCCACTACACCCCAGGGCCTGATACCAGTGCCTTATAATGTTACCAGAAATGCATGGTGGAAGAAAGTCCATTAATCATTGGCCTATACAATACTATAACTCTGGTAGATGTTAAAATATATTCAATCATGTTTCTTCGCTAATTCCGTTTATGGAGGATGAGTGGAGCTTGTTATTTGCAGATGGCATGTCACTCATTCCTCAATAATCAATAAATGAATCCATACTTTATTATCTTAAATTTAAGAACAGAACAAGAATAAATAACACTAAACAATAAAACAAGAATAAATGATAACTCAAAAAGGTCCACAGCAGGGGTAGAGGGGTCATCAGATCTTCTCTCAGGGCAGGTTAAAAAGAGTAAGAGCCCTCAGGACAAAACTGTCCCTTTTCCATGTCCTACAGCCTGGACATTAGTCAGTGTCCAGGTGGATTCAAGTGAACTCTAGAGACACAACAACAAAGTTTTTTTTCTAGCCTTCATTCTTACATAGGGGCAAAAATATCGATATATCGTATCGTTTAATGTGCTGATACAGTATCAATATTGTGGACTATTGTAATAGTGAGTATTTTTTGGTATATTTTACTAAATTATTTTGTTACAGTGCTACAGTTTTGCTGTTTGTTTAGAGGAAGGAAACTCTTTTATGCAACACATTTGACATTTTCACTGTTTTGATGAGTAAAATAGGCAGCTTTCATATTAACTTTGCACAAGAAGTGGTTTAACAAAGACTTTTAGTATCACAGTCATGATTTAGCCTTTATTTTTTACTGAACCATATCGAATTGATTTGAAATATACCATATCGAATCGCAAGCTCACTGTATTGAGATATGTATTGTATCGTGGCCTATGTATCGAGATAAGTATCGTATCGGTAACTTCTTAATGATCCCCAGCCCTATTCTTACCTTGCTCTTGTTGTTTTCATTTGATGTTGTGATAAGATGGACCATTCTCTCA